ACTAGCGCCTGGAGAACTTGGCAGAGGTATCATTACCTTTTAGTTGATGTCTGATAAATTGGCATTTTGTTATGGAAATGTGTTTCTTTGACTTACCGTGCTTAAGGCAGGTAGAGCATAGCTTATTTATCATTATTATCTTAGTGTACCTATGTATATCATGCATTATGATGGTTATGGTTTAGGAAGGCCGAGTTGTCTCATATGTTGAGTAAATAGTTGCTAGGTGCTTATTGTTTTCATTTTTCGTGTTAGTTGTATATATGTATATTTGAACGTGTTGGAAAAGGATGTAGGCCATGTATTGAGTTTGTAATTAATGTGAAGGACATCAAAGATTTATGAACATGTTTCAAACTCCAAAACAAAATAGTTGTTATGAGATATTTTGAAATGGGAAATGAAAAAGAAATGTGAACTGTCTGTATTATTGAAGGAATTAAATAATTTTGAAAAAAGTACTTATGTAAATATTCTTTAGTTATAAACCGTCACATTATTTATATAGTATGAGACTAAGCATTTATGATCATAGCTATCTGTACGTTGTATTGTTTAGGATCATGTTGAGATCCCTACTAGACTTTATGTTCATCCCACATTACTAATCCTTTTTCAGGTGAATGTTGAGAAGTGTTACAAGGTCATGGACCTTTTTTACCTGTTGTCCACGGGGCCGTTTGTTTGTGGGTGGAATGCCATTGATGTAAATGGGTTAAACCCTTTCTCTTTATTTAAAAGATGTAAGCCTACGACAATTTATTTAATTATAACTCCTGTTGCATTCATATTGTATTCGAATGAGAGAATCTTTATTCATGTGTTCTTGTAAATGTAAACAGTTTCCTCATGTTATCTCTAAAATTAAATCTATAATAATGGTTTGGTAATGGAATCCGAGTAATAAAAAGCGAGGAGTTACACTGTTCGTGGTCAAATATTTTAAAACGCACTTTTTGACTCATTTCTCTCACTTTTTTCATCTTTTCTTCTTCCCACTCTTTCATTTCGAAACCCTAATAACAAAAACACTAGATTTCATCTATTTATAACAAGAACCCATCCTTGTTCCTTCATCAAAAGTGTTAATCTTGTTGAAAGCTACATTTTGAACCGATTGGATTGTGATATCTTGGAAGTGCATTCGTTAGGTCTTTGTCTCTACACACATAACATTGAGGTAGGAATATTTTAACCTTGTATATCTATATTTTGGTTTGATTATGTGTTAATTTCATATAATGCATGTGATATGGGATAGGTTATGAGTATTAATGGTGATTGAGGGTTCTTGCTTTAAATTTTTTGAAATAATTGGTTATTGTTTAATGAAAAACAATGTAAATACCATGGATCTTGGAAAATGAAAGAATAGAAGGAAAAGCCCCAATTGCTCATGAAACCCTAATCATGGTTCATAGGTCTTGGTTGGCAAATAGATGGGAATCAATGGATGAATTGAGAAGGTGTTGAGACATCTTGTGTTGAGACAAGATTAGAATTTTTGGGTAATTAGTTTGATGTGTGATATGGTATTACCCGAGTGGAGAAACTAAGGTGCGCACTTTTCCAATTGTGCGAGGACGGTAAATGTGAGAATGCTTGAGGTGTCCACGTGCCGATCATGTGAAGACGAGGAATGTAGAAGATATGAGGTGCCCATTAGCCATTCGTGTGAGGACAGAGAAATATGGAATTAATTGGAACGATGTACATTGGAATATGAGATTGTGGGGCTAGTGTTCATGAGAAAGGGTTATGGGTTATGCATATTTTAATTCAAATGTTTATATATTTAGTTAAATATATTCTTTACTGGGCAATTGCTCATTCCTATCTAACAAATTTCAAGGCATGGTGAGCAGCAACCACCCCAATGAAGTTAAAGTGGATCAACCTTTTGTTTGAGTAAAAAACACTTTGAATATGTGATATGTTAGTTCAAAGTTTTGTTTTGTTTTGTTTTGTTTTGGGACCAAGAGTCCTTTTTGCTCAATGAAAGCCTTGCCTTAGAGATTGTAAGCCCGTAGGGCATTTGTTATACAATTGTCTCTAGCATCTTGAACTGTGAAAATTCAACATGTAATTGTAACTCTCAACTTATAGTTTAATGAGAAAGAGAACCTACGGGACCAACCTAGTAATCATTGTTTGTTATTATATGTATATATGCCATGTTGGACATTGTTTTTTTTTTTTTAATAAGTAATTTGGGGATGTGACATTACACACTTTAAAAGAAAATTTTCCAAATTCTCAATACCAAAACCATTATTGTGTCATTTTGAAGAAAATCCCTCTTTTATACATGAAATCCACATAGAAACAACCCAAAAGTTAACCCAAATCAACCAAAACACTACTCCATTCAAGAGCACATAATGAGGCTAAGAATCATGTAGAAATGTTAAAGAAATCCCTACCTCAAAATCTGAGAAGAGGAAGAACAACCCTCGAAAACCAATGACGCCAAAAACTTGAAATTTTCCAATCAAAATATAGCCCTCAACTTGCTTTACCTTAAAACCTCAAGCACTACAGGTACAAAATGAGTGTAACTAGATGAAAACCAAGAGTTTAGAGCTTGGAGGTCGAAAATGGCAGTTTGGAGAGAGAAACGAGGAAGATGAGCTCAAAAAGTAGATATTTGTAGCTTTTTGGTGGTATACATAGACACATACATCGCGGGCGTAAATAACAGACTGCAGGCATAAAAGACATAGTCACAGCCACGGATGACCATACCACGGGCATGAACCCTTAAGTTGTAGCCTACTATCGAATCACTTTTTGCCCATACAAAGACCTGAAGGACACAATCGGTTACGAGCATGAAACAAAACATCGCAGGTGCAATATTACCTTTGCGGGCATAGACAGAGCTACTTGTAAAAGTACTAGAAAGTGTTTTTCTTCGTGCCCTAGTCGTGTCCCCTCGCGGGGGCATCCTAGCACCATCAAGGGCGTGAACAAGACTGTCGCAGGTGCGACCTAAACAAACAAGAAAGGATTCTGCCAACCTGTTGAGTATAAAATAGGGTCCTCGGAGGCAACCAAACCCAAGAAAGAGACAAACCAAAACCCCAAAGTAGCCACAATACACTAGCAAGAGTATAAAAGTATTGGGTATTAACACAAGCCACTATAATGTTCCATAGTGATTGTCAAGGACATGCCATAAAAGTTCAACACAGCATATGCCATGTTACTACCTCTATGATCACTAAGAATACAACCTTCACCAATCGAACCCGGATTGCCTTCGGAGGCATCATCAGAATTCAACTTGATGCAATTTGACAATCTCATCTTATAATTCAGGTCTAGACGGGCCTGGGTAGGTCTCAGCACAACTTGAGCAAAGCTTGGACAACCTCCCGATCCGACTGAACCCGCTTGAGTTGCATCCTGACAGATCAAGGTTTGAGCTTTTAGAGGCAAAAACACATGTAACTTTTTATCGAAAAAAATTATTATAAAATTTAAAATTTTGATTTATAGTAGAACAAAAAAATGAATAATATTACTATTAATTGGACATTCTTTGTCAATATAACTAAGAACAAAAATGTAATTAGACATATTTCTTGTCTGCATTAACTTAACAAAATATTAACTATTACTACGTGGGTGTTTGAGAAGTGGCTATTTTTTAGGCTTTTTGGCTTTTTGACTATTTTAGTAAGTTATTTTGGTTTGTGTTTGGGAAGTTGGGTTAAATTTTTGAGTTAGTTGTTGTATTGAAAAATGTGTTTGGAATGATGCTTGAGGTTGAAATGACAAATTTTTCCCTAACATTATTTTTCCCAAAATTGATCTACAGGGATAAAATGGTCATTTAACTGCTTGTGGGATGGCAATGGTAGCCTTAGCCTACATTGTGTTGGTCACAGTGTGTAGGCTGTCCGTGTAAGGACAGCCACTGTTTTTTTGATTTTTGATTTTTGATTTTTAAATTTTTTTTAAAACCAATGGGTTAGTGTACTATTTGAGGCTAAAAGGCTTTTTTTATTGTTTGAGGCTATTTTAGCCCCAAACTTGGTTCCCAAACACCCCCTATATGTCTCCGTCTAGTAAAGTTGACTATTTGAAAATGTTATAATCGCCACTTTTTATAATATATATAAAAACATATATAACAAACTCAACATCAGAACCTTAATTATCATCTTTCTCAATAAACATGATCAAGCAACTTGTTACAAAATCATTTTCCATCTTATTACGCAGTTTAGTTTTGGAAAAAAATGTATAATTGAAAATGTATGTTTTTATGAGTATAGTGATAATCCGTTTCAATAAGCAGTATTAAATCTGTTTCAATATTTATATTTCTAGAGAATCAACAAATAAGAATGAATGCAAAAATAATATACATAAGCAAATTATTGTGTGATTTATAAAAGAAGAAAAAAAAAACATAAATGATATATGAACAAAAACACAAGAATAATAACAAATAGAAACAAATAAAATAATATAATTATTTTAAAACAATATAGAAATATAACAAATAAATATACAAATAACAAATAGAATAGATCAATATTTGATAAAACTCAATTTAGAAACTATTTTTAAAATTTTGTAATGCAAATAATTTGAAGGATGCAAACTATTAAAATTTTGAAAGTGCAAAATACTCCAATTTAAAATGATCTTACTACTTACTAATATAATATATATAATTTTTAAAAAATTTCAAGGTATGACCGCTACTGCCCGCACCCTAAATCCATCCTCCCTAGGTGTGCCGCATAAAATGAAAAATAATTAAAAAAATCATTTAAACATTATTGGAGTATAAAAGGCCTGTATTTTCATATTCACAGAGACCCATTAGTAAACAACAGAGGTAAAATAGAAATTAAAATAAATAAATAAAAAAAGAGAGGAAAGATTTGTTGTCCACATTCTCTTTAAATTGTCTTATTTTTGTAATATAAAAAGGTCTCAAGAGCCCTAAATTGCTGAAACTAATGGAATGTAGAATATTTTGTACAAAATTAGAAAGTCTCTTGTCCTCTGTGCTTGACCGCAAAAGGGACAAAATAAAAGCCTATGAACTTGTAAAGTAAAACTCTTCTTTCTCAAAAGTAATGTAAAACAATAAGACTAGCCCTCTTTGAGTTTGTTGGAATTAAAACATGTATTGTTAAGCCTAGGTCAAAGGATCAAGGGTTGGTACAAAGAAGAGAAGACCCAAAAAAATGTAAAACAATAAGTCAGAGACAGAAATCTTTGTATTTTTCACAGCCCTTCCTCCAAGAATTTTTCTGCAAAGTTGAATATAAATGTCAACTACAATACCATTCAAATGTCTCATAATTTTGGTCCTCAAAGGACAACCTAGATTTCCTCTATCTCTATCTATATATACTCCCAATATTTCAACTTCAAACAAAGTGCGTAGTTACAAACAAAAAAAATAAATATCCATACATTCTTTCATTTCAAGCTCTCCACCAACATGTCTCCTCTTAACACCAATGATTTGCAACAGATTTTTGACAAGCTAGACCAAAATGGTGATGGCTTTGTAAGCCTCGATGAGATCAAATTGCTTCTAGAGAGAATCGGAGTTCAGACTAGCCTAGACGAACTTGAGTTATTAGTGGGCAAAACAAGCCTCGACCTTCTTGACTTTATATTCTTCTATGACACTTTCATTAAGCGTGATCAAAACGAAATAGGCAAGGAAGATGTTAATGACTTGGAATGTGATCTTTCCAAGGCTTTCAAGGTGTACGATTTGAATGGTGATGGTTTCATTTCATGCGAGGAGCTCCAGAATGTGTTGTCACGATTAGGATTGTGGAACGAGCATTGTGGCAGGGATTGCAAAAGCATGATTAACATGTACGATATGAATTCCGATGGAGTGCTCGATTTTGAAGAGTTCAAGAACATGATGCTGTCCACCAATTCTTAAAGGCACTTCTTCTATTTATTTCTTTATATTTATTTCAGAAATTTCACTTTAGTATTAATTATTTGTTGTGATTGTGATGGGTATTCGTCGTCCAGACTTTTTCATCGGGTTGAATTAGCTAGAATGTAGACTTGGTCTTTGATAATGTTATTGTTATTGCACCTTTAAAATTTAGTATTGAATTGTTGTGTACTGCAAATTGAATGTAAAAATTGTTTATATATGCAAGTCAATTGTTTGGCTTTGGCTTCTTCAAGAGTGTCTGCGTGTCCATAGTTTCTTGATTTTGTCTTTTTATTATAACTGTCTCAAGACAAAGAATGAGCGCCCAGTTGGATCCTCAGTGATGTATTCATTATCTGATAAGATTTAAGATGTGACTTTTCTAAGTTTATCTAATCATTATGATTTTATTGTATTTATTTTTAAAACAATGAGCGATAAAAAATGATTTATAAATTTGATTGTTTATTTTTCATAAATAAAATTGCATACTTATAACTATCAAATTTTTTAATTTTTTTTTATGAATAATATATATATATATATATATGTATATGAGCTTACAAAATAAATAAATTAAATTATTAAAGTAGAACTCCATGACTCTTGACAATATTTGGAACGGGAGGACCAATTTCTTTCAATAGTATTATGGATAAACAGAAAAAACTCAAATATAAAAAATAAAAAAGAAAAAAGAAAAAAAAATTCTTCAAATTTAACACTCACATCATTGACACGTAAAAAAGGAATCTGAACTATACATACATCATTTTTCTTAGTATTTTTGTATCTTGAGTTTTTAGTCCCTAACTTGTTTGTTTTTTAATAAGAAGACACAAGATTATCCGATAATGTTCTAAATTAATGACTTTGGGGACACAATATTTGAAACAAATCTTCTAAATTAATCACTTGGTGACACAGTATCTAAAGGAAATCTTTTAAATTAAGACAATGGCTCCTCTCCAGTCCAAAATCGGATTGGAACGTGCTGTTAGATCTTTGTGGATCTTCCACGAAGCCTACACTCATGATCCAAACCATTCAATGTATATGGCTTATCGAGTACATTGCTGTAAAATATTACATTGATCGAATATTGATAGTCACTAGATCAGATTAAATTTGTGTCAACGGTAAATATAATTTGAAAAATAAATTATTGACACAAATATGATGTGATCAAATGACTGTTAATATTCTATTAATATGATTTTTTACAAAAATAAAGTACTCAACAAGTGCTACACATTTAATGATTTTGATAGATCCAAAATAAGTCAGACTGGTCCGTCCAGTTAAAATATCTAACTGGAGACATTTCTGACCTTTAAATTAATATCAATCGCTTATCACCATACCATTAAAACAACATGTCAACATGTCACTAATATGGAAACTCAAAAAAGTTGTGATGTAAATGAAAATAAATATGGTAAAAGTTAAAAAAAAAAGAGATTATTATCAATATTGCAAGTTTGATACTCGCTCTATTTGATGCAATGAAAGTATGATTTTAACAATTATTATTTTTACAGAAGAAAAAGTATTCTGCATAAAATGTTTTCTTTTATTTGATTATAAACTTGCAAATTAGACTTTGAGAAGAATATTTTTATTTATCTTAATTCAATATATTGTACAATTACTTATTTATAGAGATGGATCACCAGTAAGTAGTAAGTCCTATAATTGAGTTATTCTTATAATCAAAGCTACAATCAAGCTATTTCTTAATCTACAAATAGGAAACAATCAAGCTATTTCCTAATCTACAAATAAGAAACAATCACAAGAGATAATTTCTAAAATCTCTACTCTCCTCCTCAAGTTGGTGCATAGATGTCACACATGCCCAACTTGCCCAAAAACTTTGAGAACGCTTGACTAGACACTGCTCTAGTAAGGATATCGGCCAACTGATCTTTTGAGCGAATCTTAGCAACTCCACAATTTTCTCATCCAATTTCTCCTTAATGAAGAATCTGTCTACTTCCACATGCTTTGTACGATCATGTAGAACCGGATTATGAGCAATATCACATGTCACTTTATTGTCACAGTAAAGTTGAACTGGTTGCGTAGGCGAATAGCTCAAATCCCCCAAGAGAACTTTTAGCCATAATGATTCACATATTCCAAGTTCCATATCTCTAAATTTAGCCTTCGCGCCTGAACGTGCAATAACATTTTGTTTTTTACTTCTCCATGTAACGAAATTACCACCTACAAAGGTGAAATATTCTGAAGTAGATCGTCTGTCATCTACTGTTCTAGCCCGGTCAGCATCAGTATATGCATCCACACTTTGACAATCTATATTTTTTGTACATAAAATTCCTTTTCCAGGAGTAGACTTCAGATACTCACCATTATTTGCTCGCAGGTGATCGGACATCGACAGAGCTCGGAAGAAAGGAATACGGGCACGCTGGAATATTTGCTCCCCGTACATGTGGGCTAAGTACATCAATCTTCTGACGACTCTTTGATATCTCCCTTCATCAACAGGCACCTGATTAGTCTCAATACATATCTTCAATCATTTTTCTACTGGTGTATCAGCTGGTTGACATGCTGACATACCAGTTTCCTGCAACAAATCTAAGGCATATTTTCTTTGAGGCAAAAAAAAAATAAAATTCCTTTATCAGATTGAGACACTTCGATCCCAAGAAAATATTTCAAGTGACCGAGATCTTTCATTTCGAATTCTTTGGACAAATAACTCTGTAGAGCCTTTCTTTTTTTAGGATCATTTCCAATGGCCACCATGTCATCAACATACACAATAAGGGAAGTGATCTTACCATGCTTTTTTTTCAAGAATAAAGTGTGGTCTGAATTATTTTGATGGTAGCCAAAGGCTCTTGTAGACTTTGTGAACCTTCCAAACCATGCTCTAGGAGATTGTGTCAACCCATATAAAGCTTTCTTTAATCTGCACACCTTCTGACAATGCACTTTTGGTATCATGCATCCTGGTGGCAAGTCCATGTAGACTTCTTCGGACAACTCGCCATGTAAAAATGCATTCTTCACATCAAATTGTTGTAATGGCCAATCCAGGTTCATAGCTAGAGACAACAAGACACGAACTGTGTTGATTTTAGCTATAGGTGCAAATGTATCTGTTTAATCAATCCCATAAGTTTGGGTGTACCCTTTTGCTATAAGTCTTGCTTTAAAGCGTTCAATTGTACTGTCTGCTTTGTGCTTCACAATATACATCCACCGACATCCAATTGTTTTATTCTCCAGTGGACGATCAACAAGTTCCCAAGTTTCATTTTTCTGCAAGGATTTCATCTCCTCATTCATTGCAGTTTTCCACCTTGGGTCGGCTAAGGCTTCCTACACACTGTTAGGAATGGATACAACAGATAATTGATTTACAAATGACTTATTTGATTTTGACAAACGATGGTTAGACACATAATGACTCATAGGGTATTTAACTTTACTAGAAAGTTCGGGTTCATATGTGGTTTTAGGGATACCTCTGGTTTGACATGGTGGTAGCTATTTTATGGTTGGTTCAGGAACATCCTCAACAAATGATTAGTTTGGTGTATCAGAGGCCTGTGGTGTGAGGGATTCAGATAGAGATGGAGCTGCAACTTCATTTTCTAGGTGTTCATCATTGTCTGGGTGTTCATCACCACTTTGGTCCAAAGGTATACTACGCAAATCTAATTCACCCGCATTGTTTTCAGCCGATTCAGAGAGTTCCTCATTATTCACATCTTGATTACCAGGTTGAGAGAGTTCCTCTTTGGTAGAAATCAAAAAATTATAGTCATAGTCTAGAGCTTGAACTTCTTCCTAGTACTTCCATTGAAGTTCAAGCTCAGAGGAAAAATACATAAAGTCTTCATGAAAAACGACATCCAACGTAACAAATATGCATTTGTGGAAGGGTGATAGTAGCGGTACCCCTTTTGAGAAGCAGCGTATCCTAGAAAAACACAGTGCAATGCTCAATGAGTCAACTTGGTGTGCTGATGCTTATGAAGGTGTACAAATGCTACACAACCAAACACATGGGGAGGTAAGTTGGGGGTGACGGGAGAAACAATTGCTTCAGCGAGAGCCTGAGATGGTGTCCAAAAATCAATGGTGCTGGAAGGAACTTGATTGATCAAATGAGCTGCAGAGGTAAGTGCGTGTCCGCAGTAAGAAACTGGCATATGAGCTTCTATCAACGAAGCATGAACAACCTCTAACAAGTGTCGATTTTTTCGCTCCACGATCCCATTCTGCTGGGGTATATCAGAACAAGTAGTTTGATGAATAGTTTCATGGGTTTCCAAATACTGCTTCAATTCAAGACTCGAATATTCACCTCCATTATCACTGTGGAAAACCTGAATCTGTGCATTGTACTGACTGTGAACAATTTTATGAAAATTTTGAAATAACAAGTTTACTTCACTTTTGGACTTCATCAAACATACCCAAGTCATCCTGGTACAAACATCAATAAAAGTAACAAACCAACGTAATCCATCCAAGTTAGTAACTTTAAATGGACCCTAAACATCAGAATGCATAATCATAAAAGGAACTGGGCTTTTATTCAAAATTAATGGAAACGAAGCACGATGGTTCTTTGCAAGTTCACAAACATCACATTTGAAACTGGAAATATCAATTTTTGCAAATAAATTAGGAAACAATTTCTTCAGGTAACCAAATGAAGCATGCCTCAGACGTCGATGCCATAACCATATCTCAGACTTCTTCTTTTCACCCGCGGAACCGCCTATCATTAAAGCATGACGCAACCGGTTCAAACTCTTTGACACCAAGTCTAAGTAATACAACTTCTCTCGCCTAACACCACAACTAATCGTCTGCCTTGTTTGGATGTCCTTAAACACACAAAAATCAGGCCAGAAAATGACAACACAAAATAAGGCAGTGGTTATTTGGGAAACTGACAAGAGATTATAAACTAAAGATGGAACAATCAAAACAAAATCTAAATTCAAAGTGTCAGTGAGGGACAAGGATCCTTCTCCAATAATCAGAATTGAGGTACCATCGGTAGTAAAAACAAAATTTTGTGTAGAAGGTTTAAGAGGAAAGACTTGTTTAGAATCAAATGTCATATGATCTGTAGCACCAGAATCAATTATCCACGCACTATTAAAAACAGGTGTCAAGATATTTAAAACCTTACCATCATTACCTGCCACTGCTATTAATGTCGAGAATGCTTTAACAATATAATT